ACTAGAGCCGCGTCTTTATGAAGAGGAGACTACAAGCGAATCCGGATCTCAGCGTTTGCAGATGAGAACAGCTCTCAGGTAAACAATAATCCTCCTTAGACACGTAAGTTATTGTTGTCGAGCGTTGCGTACACTGTTAATCCACACGTGAGTCTGAGCTCTCACAGAGAGAAAATGAAAACAAAACTTAACTGCAGCAAACTATAAAAGCAACACTTCACGCTTGTTTTGCCAACACAACGTGGCGTCTTTGTCGTCTAAACACTGTGACAGTAATGAATATTAATGAAGTTGCACAATAGAGCGCGCTGATTGGTTTGAACCAAGCTTTACTCGTGCATTAATGCATCACACTGTAAGACGTAATAAGACTCACTCTGGCACAGACGTCCAGTCTGCACGCTGGAATACACGCTATTATGTCATGACCGTGACGCAGCTTCAAAAATTCGTTTCAAACCGGAAGTACGAATTTGCTTGAAATAACGCAAAAACAACCAATTTACACTTTTTAGTGAAATATAGGTGTCCTAATAGTGTTTTTAGCAGTGTGGGACACATATACGACTGTCAACAGCTTAAAAAATGTGTTTTGGTGTTTAGTGACCCTTTAAAGGGTTAAACAAAGGGTTAAACAAAATGCACAGCACTACTACGGTCACAGAAATAGTTTGCACTGTTATTATTCACTTACCTTTTAAAATGTTTTCGGTGCGATTTTTAACCTGCTATTTGAAAAACGACTGAATATTTTAAATAAGAAGCTGTAATGTGTGGTCGTGGTGGGATGAATTTTGGTGTGGCGCCCCACCACGGAAGAATAAATGTAGCGGAAACCATGGTCTTTCTCACACTCGCACATATGCACCATACTCCATATAGAAGGCAGAAACTAAGCGTTTTTTGCACTGAACAAACGTTTTTTGGCACTGTATCTGATGATCAACAGTAAAAATGTCCAATTTTACCTCTCCCCAATAAGGAAAACCATCAACAATCAAGAACGCATGCATTATTCATGCATTCATGACTTTGCAATAAAAAAATGTTGTTATATTGGAAGAAAACGGGGCCCAGAGTGTATTGTTCTTTAAAAATGTTTAAAGAATTTTCCCAAAATATGCGTCTAAGGAAGATTTGGCATCTAAAAACATTCCAATTTCTGAAACACTGAGGATGTTGTGGCCAAATGAAGACTCAAAATCTCCCCAGTGTGGATGTGAACATCCCGACAGCACACTAGGGTTCATTTAAATGTAAATACCTAGTAATGAAGGCTACTTAGTAAAAAGTGGCACCCATGTTTTTAATAAATGTGTTATAAACAAATTAAATCTTTCTGAACACAAACATACACATAAAAGGATGACATTTAAGATATTACATACCGACTTAAATCTTCGGTACGGTCTTCTCACTGCGTGTATTTTTGTGCGCTGCCATCCTCGCGGCTCTGTCTGTTCCACATCTCATGCGTGCGTCTCTATTTACATCTGTGTGAGTTCCACGCCACTGAGCTCCAATCGGACGCTGAGTCTGCGGCATGTCTAATGCTGACACACACACATAACACGCAAGCACCGCCGCCTCCAGCACATGCCGGACGAGTGGGCGGCCTGCCATGTGCACATGACTGCACAGAGAGAGAGAGAGAAGGGAAGAGTGTGGCACGATACTCTGCCAGGCTGTGTATGGATGGAGACTACGCCATACACAACTGAAACAGTAGCAGCACGGGCAACCTGCTGCAGGGTCTGACAAACACAAATCCCGGATCGCCAGGGAAAGAAATCCGTCCTGCTGATTGGCAGACGCATTGATTCGGCTAGCACGGGGGCTATTTTTGGTCCTGCTGTCAAAATGACGACGTCGGGCTGTTTGTGCAGGGGGAGATGCCGGTTAAGGCGGTGAACAGGTTGCCATAAGCAAATTCGGTCGCATGTCAGTGCCGGATATGGACGAGGAACCCGCTTACAGACTCTACTTCTACTCTGTACGTACTCTCTGTCCTCCTCACATCATTCATTTCTTCACGCTTCTGCATTTAGATGCACTTGAAACACTATCCCTGCAGCTCTCTGTGCTGTTATTCATCCTGAAAGTGGTGCTTTCTAGCTTGATTTAGTCATTTTGCAGTTCTGAAGTGTTTTGTAGATCTTAGGTCTGGAGAAAAAGCCTTCCAACATATAATAACTTGACCTCTAGTTGATCATTTGATATCAGACGTGGCTTATATGAAAGGTAAAGGCCTCTAGATTACGCTTTTTTGACCAAAATAAAATATGATCATGCCTTGATTTTTACTTATTTAATTAGGACTGTAAGGTCTGACTTTGCTCAGACAAAAGTCTTGTTACTTAACAGAAATAATGTCCAGTATAGAATATAAAGTCATGCTGCAGTGGAAACAGAATGAATATTGTGTCTGACTCCATCATGAGCTTGGAGGACTGCATCCATACATCTCTGCAATGACTCAAATCACTTATTAAAGTCATCTGGAAAGAGTTCCTGCAGGACTCCCAGATTTCATCAAGATTCTTTGGATTCATCTTCAACGCCTCCTCCTTCATCTTACCCAGATGTGCTCAATAATGTTCATGTCTGGTGACTGGGCTGGCCAATCCTGAAACTCCTTGACCTTCTTTGCTTTCAGGAGCTTTGATGTGGAGGCTGAAGTATTAGGAGCGCTATCCTGCTGAAGAACTGTCCCTCTCCTGTGTTTGTAATGTAATGTGCAGCACAAATGTCTTGATACCTCAGGCTGTTGGTGTCGCCATCCACTCTGCAGATCTCTCGCACGCCTCCACACTGAATGTAGATGATTTCTTTACAGAAATTCAATAATCAAAAGGTGAAATATGACTGCATGCAGACTTTATTGTGTAATAAACACAATTATTCTATGTTAAAGTGACTAACTTTATCGTGTCTTGCCCAAATGGTTTAAATTAAACAAGTAAACTTGAAAACTTGGCCGTAAAAACACTTTAAAATATACAAAAAAATAAATAATTCCTTTACACATTAGGGTTAAACTTTGCAATCAAATCATGTGCTCTGAGCTGTGGTTTCTGGTTAATTATAAATCGCAACATGACATTGCAGATCCTAGGATGTGACTATTGCGATATTGATGCTGAAATAATTTATTGTGCACTTTAAGTTGAACAAAAATATTATATTTATTATACATTTTTCGCATTTTTGAAGAAAAAGCTTTGTTATACTTGTGACAGATGTGAAATCGCCACTTGTGCGACACTAGTAAATCAAATAAAACCATTGACAGAGACTAGGCAAGAGCCGGTGTAAGATTCTGATGGTATGATAACCTTGGATGAAAATATCACGGTATTGTGCTCACTGCTCTAAAATATATTCTTTTTAAATGTCTGTGTAAAAAAACAAAAACTTTTTTCCCCTTTGAACACAATATACTTTTTAGTTTCAATATTTTTATTATTAGAGATTTTCGCAGAGATTTACTTGAAAATAGACTCTTTTTTTTTAAAAATAAACATAAAACTTGCATTCAAACAATGACATTTAAAAAAATAATAATAATAAATGAAAAACAACAACAACAAACAACAGTCATAAAAATGATCATTAAAACAATCAAAAATAATAAAATAAACATGCATTCCCCCATCCAGCCACCCACCAGTGCTATACAACAATAAACGTAGGTACTAAAAGCATAGTACACATATTAATCACAAGTTTATTAAAAGGAAAAAAAGGGACCATTTTTTTTTCAAAAAACAAAACCTTGTCTATTAGGGTATATCTGATTTTTTCCAGATGTAGTGTACCTGTTATCTCTGTCAGCCATAATTTAAGAGTTGGAACTTATTTTTTCTTCCAAAACAAAAGGATGAGTTTTTTGGCAGAGATCAACCCATATGAAACAACCTGTTGTTGTATCCGTGCAAGTCTCGAAAATTCTTCGGAAACTCCAAATATAATTAATATAGGATCTGGTTCAATTGAAATGTCCAATGTAACTGGAAAAAACTTGAAATATTTTGTTCCTGAAACTCTGTAATTTGGGACACTGAACACAAACCATTTTATTTTTTGAAAGATTTATGATATTTTGGAGCAGTAAACATGCCAGGCTAAATATAAATAATTCAAATGAATCATTGACGTCTGCTGAGTTTATTTGTTTCAAAACACAGATTTCTTCACAATTTAAAATGGCATCTTTGGATATTTTTTTCCTGCTGGAGATACTGTTGTCCTAAAAAACAAACAAAAAAAAGTAAATAAAAAATCGTACACATACTTTAGGAACGGTATTACAGAAAATGTTGGCGGTTTTAAAACCTTGACTTTTCCAAACCGCGGTATACCTTGAAAACAGTCATCATTCCACGCCTAACGTAGACATTTGAGTATTTTTATAGTACTGTAAAATGCAAGCCTACACAAACAACTAGTTTAGCTTCGATACGGTACCTTAGGCTGCTTTTACACCTGTGAATCGATTCAGTTGTACCGAAACAGGGATTAAAATTGTTACAATGTTGCTGCTTGCTCTTGGTGTGGTTCGCTTTCACACGGCAAAGTTTTTAAACGGATCAAAAGAGCTAAAACAAGTCACGTGTGAGTAAACTCTCTTCACATTGGTCAGAGTTTCACGGTTTATTTTGGTTTGGTGGTGTTTGACAAGGTGTGCGCAACGTGTCTGAAAAGCGAGGAGGGAGGGGTGAGGAGGGTGCGCGACATATTTGAGGACCGGGAGGGAGACGCGTGATTACCGGGAGATTATTGTTTGCGGGTATCCTGAAGTCTCTGTGCATTTGCGGGAGACTCCCAAAACTTCCGGGAGACTTGGGATGTCTGGAATGACCTCCCGCCCTACTCATAATTCTCACTTCATATGCCTATTACATATCCATAAAACACTGTGATATAACCGGTCTCAAATCATATCGCTTTCTCACTACAATCGATCCGCCTCAGAGTTTATTTCAATTGAGCCGAGACCACCTCATTCAATCGATCTCGGAGCGACTGTTTTGGCGCGGATCTGAGCGCGATTGGTGGTTTCACATATGCCATAGAACCGAGCTAACTGGGCAAATGAGACTGGTTCCAAAACTAAAGTCTAGGTGTAAAGGCACCATTAAAAAAATATCGATTACCAATTTCGATATTGGGGCAAGGCAGTGGCGATGTAGGTAGTGCTGTCGCCTCACAGCAAGAAGGTCGCTCGGTCGCTGGTTCGATCCTCGGCTCAGTTGGCGTTTCTGTGTGGAGTTTGCATGTTCTCCCTGCATTCGGGTGGGTTTCCTCCGGGTGCTCCGGTTTCCCCCACAGTCCAAAGACATGCAGTACAGGTGAATTGTGTAGGCTAAACTGTCCGTAGTGTGTGTGTGAATGTGTGCGGATGTTTCCCAGAGATATGTTGCGGCTGGAAGGGCATCCACTGCGTAAAAAGTGGCTGGATAAGTTGGCGGTTCATTCCGCTGTGGCGACCCCGGATTAATAAAGGGACTAAGCCGACAAGAAAATGAATGAATGAATTTCGATTATTAGCACGTTTCCTTAGGACTGCTCTGTAGCACAGCTTACGCAACGCAAAGCCTGCCTCGATACAGACCAAAAGCAAGATTATATTGTTTTTATATATTCCGATATCGATACTTGTCGAAATATCGACAATTTTGATGACACTACAAGCAATTTAGAAAGGATTTTTCACTATTTTGGTGAAAAATTTAAGGCAACTTTGACATTTAAATGGAAGTGCTTGATGTTTCTTTCTTCTATCAAACACAGTATTGGCCGCTGACATCCATTGTAGGAACAAAAATACTTTGGAATCAATGATTTCTAGTTTTCTTCAAAATATCTTCTTTTGTGTATAAGAAAGAAACTCAACCAGGTTTGGAACAAGTAGAGAATGAGTAAACGACCTAATTTTCTTTTTTAGCTGGACTAGCGATTGAACTGAGCGTTGCATTGACTCGGGCCTTCAATTGCCAGTCTTCCGTCAGAAACCTGGGAAACCCAGAGTAAATATTTACCATCCAAACATCATGCTGACAGGCAACAAGTTAATTTCCTTGCATGTCTCGCTGTCATTTTATCCATTTGTTTCGCAATCACAAAGCTTCTTTCATTCTTATTTCCAAACCTCCAGAGAGTAAAGCGTGTAATGAAGGCTGCTGTCACTGGCTAAGTAGGTCAGTTGTGTATTTAACCCCCCGAGGACATGAGATGGTTGCAGGAGAGGACAGTACGCTGTTTATGCATGTGTAAAAACCAGCGATGCTTATGAAATATTCCTCTCTGTGAGGGAATGCGACAGACGGAACAGATTTGCGTTTGCATAACAGTGGCATATGGCCAATGAGCAACTCAATAATTAGCTATTTGCACCATTGTAATGAATTGTGTTAAGTAATATATCAAAGCTGTGCAATTCAATATCAGGGTCGTCGTGATAACATTAATTAATCCTAAGAAATTTCAAGTCAAAAGCACCTTTAGAAATCGGTTTTCTGAAAAAAATGGTGACGTGTTCAATACTTATTGCCCCCTTTGTGTATCTGCTGCAGGCCTCGTTCCAGCGCTCCAACAGCCATGATAAGGTGAGAAAGATCGTGGCGGAGGAGGGACGGGCTGCTAGAAACCTCATTGCATGGAGTGTCCCAGTGGAGAGCAAGGAGGAAGAAGGTTTGATCCAATTCAGTCTGACAAACACACACACACACACACACACACACACACACACACACACACACACACACACACACACACACACACACACGTATATGTGTATATATAAATATATATATAATAATGATGGCTGACATTGGGAATGCATTTTAATGTTGATGGGATGTTGAATGTGTGGGCTGTTGCATGCAGCTAGCTAAACAGAGCTGTTTTAGAGTTGAAGAAGGCAAACAAATGAATCGGGTTAAGTGGTTTCAGAATGCTTGATGTAAGCTTTCTCTGGGGCTCATCTAGAGTTTCTGATTAACTCTGGACTGCATGCACCTGAGAATATGACGTGTATCAAACAGCCAATCAAGCAACACACATGAGAGGGTCTGCAATTCACTTCGTTGTTGACAATTAGGAGTTATTATTTGTTAGAAATATAATGAATTAAAGCAACTCATCACTGGGAAACACTCACACACACACACACTCGTGCTTACAAATATAGTACAGCCAATTTAGCTTACCCAATTCACCTATAGCGCATGACTATAGAAAACACATACCAACACAGGGAGAACATGCAAAAACTCCCCACTGAAATGCCAACTAAATTGCCAACTCGCTCACCTATACTTGGTCTCTCTCGGGTGCACTCGCCCTTTCTCGCGTCCGCTCGGTCTCTCTCGTGTGCACCAATACTCTGCTCTCTCACGCACCAATACTCGGCTCTCTCTCACACTAATACTCTGCTCTCTCGCGGGCCAGTACTCGGCTCTCTTGCGCGCCAATACTCGGCTCTCTCGTGCGCCAATACTCGGCTCTCTTGCGGACCAGTACTCGGCTCTCTCGCGCACCAATACTCGGCTCTCTTGCGCGCCAGTACTCTGCTCTCTCGCGCAGTAATACTCGGCTCTCTCACGTGGCAATACTCGGCTCTCTCGCGGGCCAGTACTCGGCTCTCTCGTGCACCAATACTCTGCTCTCTCGCGGGCCAATACTCTGCTCTCTTGCGTGGCAATACTCGGCTCTCACGCGCAGTAATACTCTGCTCTCTCACGCGGCAATACTCGGCTCTCTTGCGTGCCAGTACTCGGCTCTCTCGCGCAGTAATACTCGGCTCTCTCACGTGGCAATACTCGGCTCTCTCGCGGGCCAGTACTCTGCTCTCTCGCGCACCAATACTCAGCTCTCTCGCGGGCCAGTACTCTGCTCTCTCGCGCACCAATACTCGGCTCTCTCGCGGGCCAGTACTCGGCTCTCTCGCGGGCCAATACTCAGCTCTCTCGCGTGGCAATACTCGGCTCTCACGCGCAGTAATACTCTGCTCTCTCACGCGGCAATACTCGGCTCTCTTGCGCGCCAGTACTCGGCTCTCTTGCGCAGTAATACTCGGCTCTCTCACGTGGCAATACTCGGCTCTCTTGCGCAGTAATACTCGGCTCTCTCACGTGGCAATACTCGGCTCTCTCGCGCACCAATACTCTGCTCTCTCGCGGGCCAATACTCGGCTCTCTCGCGCGGCAATACTCGGCTCTCACGCGCAGTAATACTCTGCTCTCTCACGCGACAATACTCGGCTCTCTCGCGGGCCAGTACTCTGCTCTCTCGCGCACCAATACTCGGCTCTCTCGCGCACCAATACTCGGCTCTCTCGCGCACCAATACTCGGCTCTCTCGCGGGCCAATACTCGGCTCTCTCGCGGGCCAATACTCGGCTCTCTCGCGCGGCAATACTCGGCTCTCACGCGCAGTAATACTCTGCTCTCTCACGCGGCAATACTCGGCTCTCTTGCGCGCCAGTACTCGGCTCTCTCACATGGCCAACTTTTGCCTCTCATGCTCGCCAATACTTGGCTTTCTCGTTTATCTGAATACTTGGTCTCTCTAGCGCACCAATACTCTGCTCTCATGCGCGCCAATACTCGGCCTCTCTCGCGTGCCAATACTCGGCCTCTCTTACGTGCCAATACAGGTCTCTCTCGTGCGCCAATACTCGGCTCTCTCGCACACCAATATTCGGCTCTCTCGATTATCCAAATGCTCGGGCTCTCTCGCGCGACAATGCTCGGCCTCTCTCGTGTGCTAATATTTGGCCTCTCTCGCATGCCAATACTCGGCCTTTCTTGTGCGTCAATCTGCAAATCTCCAGCTACTGCGTGATGCTGTCATGTCAATATGGACCAAAATCTCTGAGGAATATTTCCAGTACCTTGTTGAATTTATGCCATGAAGGTTTGAGGCCGTTCTGAAGGCAAAAGGGGGTCCAACCTGGTTCTTATAAGGTGTACCTAATAAAGTAGCCAGTGAGTGTATGTAGTATTTATTCAATTATATTTATTTGTTCAATCATTGGTTCCAAAAAAGGAGAACTAAACAATGTGAATAAATGACTGTTAGATGATTCATTGCTCTTTCTTGCAGTCATAAACGCTCTCACATCCTACGTGTCTTGTCACCCATCAGGCTCCAATTAAAAATGCGTCCAGCTTTCTAAAGAGCGGCCATTAGTAAAGCAAATGTGGGCGGTGAACCAATGCTCAGAATCTGTCGTCTCTCTTCTGTACCTGGACTTACAGTACACTCTTTGTTACAGTGTGTGTGTGTGTGTGTGTGTGTGTGTGTGTGTGTGTGTGTGTGTGCTTCTGTTTGTTTGAGTTTCATGTTTGGGTTTGTTTGTACATTTGTGTGTTTATGTTTGTGTATGCCTGTGTGTTTGTGTGTATTTGTGTGCCTGTATAATGGTGTGTTTGTGCTTGAGTGTGATTGTGTGTTTTCGTGTTTGCATGTACAGTATGTTTGTGTGTGCCTTTGTATTTGTGTTTGTGCTTGTGTGTACCTGTGTGTTTGTGCATGTTTGTATCGTGTTATTGTGCATATGCAGTATGTGTGTGTGTGTGTGTGTGTGTGTGTGTGTGTGTACGTACTTGTGTTTGTGTGTGTGTAGATTTTCTGTATGTCTGTGTTTGTGTGTGTGTTTGTGCATGTACAGTATGTATGTGTGTTCTTGTTTACCTGTGTTTATGTTTGTGTTTATGTAGGTTTTTGTGTTTCTGTGCTTATGTGTGTTTGTGCATATTTGTGTACATGTGTGTTAGTGTATATGCGTGTGTGAGTGCTTGCACATATTTGTGTGTATCTTTCTGTGCTTGTCTATGTGTGTGTGTGTGTTTGTCTATGTCATTGTTTGTGTGCACTTGTGTGTCTGTGTTTGTGTGTGCATTTAAGCTGACCCAGATCCTGCTTGAGCGTCAGCTCTGACAGGTCACCGCAGGAGTCTTTTGTCAGTTTTGGGGCTGCAGTTTGTGTAACGTCTCCGCAAACAGCACTTGCCAGTGCCTCCATTCACTTACTGTTTCTGGATCAGGGACTGCAGAACTCCAATTGTGCACTTAATGCTTAGAAGTGCTGATTGAGAGTCAGTTTTGACCCTCGTATCCTGATAAAGAGGATTATATTGACTAGAGGGAGCTGATCCTAGATGACCAGAGGAAGCTGATCCTCTTCTTATAGCGCACACACAATACAGGCCTGATCCCAGATCAGTTCTGATAGGCAGAGACTAGGCCCAATCCCAATTCTATTTTGTACTCCTTAAAACCGAGTGTGAAGGGGAAGGGCTTCAAAATGTATACCTAAGAAATGGCACAACACTACAGCACCTGCACACGTCATCACATGTCATCGCGGTCTCTTGCTTCATATGAGATCAGACGATGCCGACTGCTGTAGTTATTCCAGTTGTGTTATTTTTGGGTATTTATCTTCAGGAAATCACTGAAGGCATATATTATGGTATCATAACGATATAATGTGGTAATAAGCTGGGAACTGTGCTGTGCATTAACACGGTGGCCATATTCATCTATGTAAACACGCCAAAAACCACATTAACATTATAGCAGATGCTGTAAAAAGGTCATTCTCAGCCACTAGACTTTTCTGACAGGGTGTTTAAGTGTCATCGAGTGTCAGAATGTTGTGGGACTGCTGTACAGGAGTTATTGTTAAGGAATAAAGATGGCGGAATTCAGCGCTTTTTATTTGAAAGTTTTTTTAAAGCTTGACGGTAAAACACAATCACGGTTATGAATATATTATAACATCTTTGTTTGTCGTAAAAATTCTTAATAATAATAAAAAAAAATACTAATTTGTGTATCACTTTACGTCCGGATGTAGCTATCCTGCTGTCGCGGTCTGGTTTATTTTGGGAAATTTTCTTGCTCTTTGGTTTCAAGTGTAGTCCTGAAAAATCTCAGTTTGAAGGGCTATCTACTCCTTTCCATAAGCCTGGGTTATACTTCTGCATCGAGTGATTGGTGTGGCCCACGGCGCATGCCTTGTGCGTTGCCGTTTATTTATACTTCTGCGCGGTTTGTGTTCCTCTGCAATAACACTTATGTTCCTCTGTGTCGAGTTTCTTCGTTGGTGTTATATTCGTTCATTCATTCATTTTCTTTTCGGCTTAGACCCTTTTTTAATCTGGGATCGCCACAACGGAATGAACCGCCAACGTTTCCAGCACGTTTTTATGGTTTTAGGGTCTTCCAAACAGACCATGACCCTAAGCATACTGCCAAATTAGTTAAAATGTGCTTTAAGGACAACAGAGTGAATGTTTTGGAGTGGCCATCACAAAGCCCTGATCTCAATCCTATAGAAAATTTAGAGAGTTGAAAAAGCTTGTTTGAGCAAGACAGCCAACAAATCTGACTCAGTTACACCAATTCTGTCAGGAGGAAATGGCCAAAATTCCTGCAAACTATTGTGAGAAGCTTGTGGAAGGATACCCAAAACATTTGACCAAAGCTATACAGTTTAAAAGCAAAGCTGAAAAAATACCAAGGAAATGTTTGTAAACTTTTGACTGTCTAGAAATAAAAAAAAATTCTCAGAAATGTTCTCATTAGTCTGGCATTTAGCAAATGTAAATCATTTAGGTAATCCTAATGGACCTAAAATAGTAAAAGTTTAGTACAATTTACCATCAGACATTTTATTGTTAAATGGAATGTTCCTTTTTTAACGTGTATGTAAACTTCTGGTGTCAACTGTGTGTAAATAATTTTATAGAAATTGTAGTTTTCAAATCAGAAAGTACTGACAGTTTTGCAGTAAATGCTTCTGAAAAACGTCATTCAGGTGGGACATATGCAACATGTATAGCATTTTAATATTTACTCGTTTTTCTAACTGTGCTGTACTCTTTTGTTTGCTTCCAGCGAAATCAAAGAGTCATGGTAACAGCAACGCAAGAGCTCAGAGAATCAACTCCGGCCTCCACAGGAACAAAAAGCAGGTGGGAATTTTGTACAAAATTTTGTACCATTTTTTTTTTATTGCTGATGTGAAAATGGCAGATTTGTTAAACTAGGGTTTAAATAACCTCAAACCTGCACGTCTGGGCAATGATACACATGAGTAATCAATTCTCCATTATTTTAAGTCAAATTAAATGATCATTTAATTTTTTTTAAAAGAGTAAATAAACAGCGATTACTCTTAGTAAACACTAGGGGGAGCTCGAGTCATATCAATGCAGCCTTACATTCATTGGGTTATTTGAGTCCTTCAGTTTACCTCAGTATTTATGTAAACAGCAGCTATTGAATACATGAACTATTAAAGCAGGGGTGCTCAACCCAATATCAATCACACCTGCCTGTAATTATCAAGCGCTGTTCAGGTCCTAATTAATTGGTTCAGGTGTGTTTGATCAGGGTTGGAGCTTAACTGAACAGGAAGGTAGATCTCCAGGAACAGGGTTGATCGGCCCTGTATTAGAGCATGAATAATAGCAACATGGGTCTTAATTGCGCACATAAACAATTTTAAATGTTGATTTTAATCTCTGCTCTTCGCAGAACTCTGGATTGGACTGCAAAAATGGTCCTGGGTCGATATTGGACAAAGGACCTGAGAAGAGTCCCACCAAGACTAGACAACCACGAAAGGTGGACCTCAGGGCTCGATACTGGGCCTTTCTGTTTGATAACCTGCGGAGAGCAGTGGACGAGATCTACGTCACCTGTGAATCTGACCAGAGCGTGGTGGAGTGTCGGGTATGATCAAGGCTCCAACCTCTTATACATTACGCACACACATTACGTTTAAAACCATTTGACCACTTTAGGATTCAAATGTTTATCTTCATTCTGAGGGGTTTTGAGATATGAAGCGTTTGATTTACAGGCCGCAAAACTTTTGATTTGACTCTGATTTGGTCGCATATGGTACAAAAGATTTAATTTATATAACTTCAAGAGCATATAATTGTTGAATTCTTTGGTATTCAGAGTCAAGGAAAACCTGGAAAAGTCATAGATTAATTTTTTTATAAGTATGTTTATTGAAAATCTACATAATATTTTGTAGAATATAAGAATGCAAAGAGTATCAGGACATTTTTTTAAACAATTAGCAAAAGCAAAATAATAATAACAATATTAAAAATAAAAATACAACCCACCCTTCATCTATACGTGGTAGAATTTTTCAAGTTTTTGTCAAAACATTTGTTTTTTTTGGTCTTACATGAAGATAGTTGCAATTGTTGATGGTAATAAATAAAAACAATAATGTCCAGAAATTATGCACAAATAAATAACATTTAAAAATGTGATAACTCATTGGATTAAAACTATAATATAAAATAAGAGAAAGTGACAACAACATTAAAAAAGAGCAGCAAAACTAACAATTATTATGCAAAAAAATCAAATATTAAAGTCTATCAGAGGTATTGTGTCAAGAAAAGTGCCTCAAATATAATCAAAGTCTGTGGGCTCTTGTCTGAAAGTTAGGAAATTTATATTTTTTTCCCAGGCCTGGAAAAGATTTGGAAAAACATGTCAAGGAAGTCATGTTGGAAGTCATGTCAATTAGCAACAAATATCTGTATACTTCAATACAAGTTAGTTGTCCTTGGCCAAAAACATGCTCTCACATTATTAGTGCTGTGCAAGCGTTATCTAAATACATTTTACATTTATTCATTCATTCATTTTTCATCGACTTCATCTCTATTTATCAGGGGTCTCCACAGCGGAATGAACCGACAACTAATCCAACATTTGTTTTATACAGCGGATGCCTTTCCAGCTGCAACCCAGTGTTGGGAAACCCATACACACTCATTCACACTCATACACTACAGCCAATCTTGTTTACTCAATTCAATTATGGCGCATGTGAGGACTGTGGGGGAAGCCGGAGCAGCCGGAGGAAACCCACACCAACACGGGGAGAACATGCAAACTCGTAGACACATGCCTATAAAGTCCGCATGAACCAGAAGCTGCAACCGTTTTTTTGTTCTCATAATTTCCATATTGTGACGCAGTTCCTAGAGAAAGTGATAGGAAATGAGAAAACAGTGGGCGTGGCTTGAATTTTCTATTGCAAGCTGATTGGATGTAGCAAAGTAGGCATTTCCCTCAGTTATTACCGGAGAGTTATTACAACCTAACAGACTCCTCATCCTCACCATTTCTGTTTGTTGTCAACTGACAGTTGGTAACACTTTATAGCCGAATCTCTATATGTCAGTAATTGCCATATTCGCGTCATGATTAGTCCTGTGATCCCCTCACGCCTCTGCTAGTGTATGAAGGGAAAGGCACGTTCACGTTTTACAGAGTCCAGCACTACATATTTAATAATGTACCGCATCAATGTTGACACTTTCAGATTTAACCCTCAGCTGGATGTTTTCATTTACTTCTAGCCAGGGTTTGACATTAACCAGCCACTGTGGCTAGTAGTTTTCCAACATTACTAGCCACTCGCCATTTTCACTAGCCACAATTGTATTGTTGGGAAAATATATTTTAAATATCGTCACCTTAGAATTATCAGGTTCTTTCTGACATTTTTGTCAAAATTGTGTTATTGACATATTCTTATTTAATGACAACTAATTTACATTATGGGATTTTCTTTTATAAATTTACATTTTAAGACTTTTACACATACTGTTTGCTATGGAATGCAAAAACTTTGAAGCTCAAAATCATTCAGAACGATTCAGATAGAGCTTTTTAATTCTAAGGTGACAGGATGACAAAAAATACTTGATTTCGATTTTGCGTGATCTCCACATGCCTTCTCATTCATTTCACTTTTTGTGTGTCGTATATTAGCTTGCTCAAAGTGCATGAGCAAATGCAGAAATCCCAAGTTGGGAAAAGTTACATGGTGGTGTGTATGCGCGCCACATACCTGTAGAGCAGCGGGGGTGAGTTGCGCGCGACATACCTGTAAAGCAGCGGGGGTGAGTTGCGCGCGACATACCTGTATAGCAGCGGGGGTGAGTTGCGCGCGACATACCTGTAAAGCAGCGGGGGTGAGTTGCGCGCGACATACCTGTATAGCAGCGGGGGTGAGTTGCGCGCGACATACCTGTATAGCAGCGGGGGTGAGTTGCGCGCGACATACCTGTAAAGCAGCGGGGGTGAGTTGCGCGCGACATACCTGTATAGCAGCGGGGGTGAGTTGCGCGCGACATACCTGTATAGCAGCGGGGGTGAGTTGCGCGCGACATACCTGTAGAGCAGCGGGGGTGAGTTGCGCGCGACATACCAGTAGAGCAGCGGGGGTGAGTTGCACGCGACATACCTGAAGAGCAGCGGGGGTGAGTTGCGCGCGACATACCTATAAAGTGGTGGGGGTGAGTTGCGCGCGATGTACCTGAAGAGCTGGGAGGGATGTAGTGTAGAGGGGTGTGCGACGTTTTTAAGGAACGGGCGGGAGATGCGCGATTTCCAGGAGATTATCATTTATCTGCGGGGATGCGGGAGTCTCTATGCATTTGCGGGAGACTCCTGGAACTTCCGGGAGACTTGGGATGTCTGCAAATGGGTCATGGTTTCATAGTATTGCAATTAGCTTTTATTTCACATAATTTTCAGAGCTTAAAATGAAGGATTTACCAAATGTATCTCTGACCACACCAGTCATAAACAATTAATTATTTCCTAGCCACAAATTTTAAATGTGTCAAAACAAGCAAAATATAGCTGAATACTATACTTTTTTTATTTAACGAAACATATGCACAGTAATCTGTCCTGGCTAAGGGTCCCAGATCGCCAGTTAACTACACATAAATGGGGAGTAATCTCCCATTAAAGCAATGTTATTGTTAAAAAATATAATTAAACCCTATTAACGCAAAAGAAAGCAGGTAAAAATATACCGTGTGATAATGAAAGGATGATCACACACACACAGTTAACGTTAGACCCATAAATAATCTTCAAACCGGTGCTGCTTACAAAAAGACAACTCTGGAAATCTTGAAAGCAGCGAGACTGTGGGTGCATGTTCATCCCTTCTTGTCCAGTCTATTTGAAAGAGAATTTGTCACATCAGTTGTGTTTCTAGACACAGTTGCTTCACGCAAGGAAACGCGCACGCGTTTTAAACAGTCGCTTGCATCACCTCAGCTGTTAGCGCGAGTGATTAGCCTCTCATTCAGTATTCACCTGCCATCTATTGTTCGCACGATCGCAATTATTTTTGTCAGTCATGTTGCTTCTCAATTCTAAGATCGCCTTTGCATGCATATTGGACCATCCTTATTGTCGAACCCTGCTTTTCAGAATTACTATCCGGGAAAATTATTTTCAACCAGCCAAAGTGGCTTGTGGGAGTGTCTGTCATACCCGCCACCGCTGAAATCTACCCGCATTTGGCGTGTTGGCTGGTGTTAATGTAAAGCCCTGCTTACAGCTGTGTTACACACTGCATAGAAGCTCATTTTCAAAAAAAACATAATAGGGGCTCTTTAAGGACATGCACAGACAAATTGTTCACTAGCAATGTGAGCTAACAAAATCAGTATGGTTAGTTTTGATTTCATGTGTACTTACATTTCAAACATAATTTTTAGTTGTGAGATTTCGGAGCTGTCCACTAGAGGGAATGAAGCGCTGTGATCAATCTCTCTCCTCCTCTTCCTCCTCCTCGCATTCCTGTTGTTTTCTGGTTTGTGTCAGAGAGGGTTTGGTGAGAGAATTATCACTGCAGCTCTCCAGGGCCTTTCTGGAGGGAGTGGAGATGGATGACATGTGTAAACAAAGAGCCCCCCCGGACCCCTCTCCTTCTCTGTATGTGTGTGTGCAGGGGGTGTTCGGGGTACAAGGTCTAGGTGACGTCCTAAAACACTTTTTTTTTTTTTCCACCCCAGGTTTTTTGTTTAGTTTGAGTAAAAGCAAAAAGCTGATTGCTAAACGCGCTCTACAGTCAGCCCCTATGACCAATGACCTCTCAGCACGCAACGGTCGCAATAACGATCCATCACTTCAAGTTGATCAACAGTGTTTTTGTGTCCGGCTTGGTCTCGAGACCTGTGTCGGCAAACAGTGGTTTGATCTTTGTTAGCTTTGGTTGGCAGAGCTTGTGTCGGGGCACTCTCTGTGTTTACCCTGGCAGGTATGGCGGGCTGGGGCTGTATTTGGGCCCATCGTCCACACTCCACACTGCTGGCTCTGATTTATCGATTGGCGTGTAATCTAGAATTATGCCGAGCAGGGTTTGGGCCAGATGCTCGAAGCTAACCGGCCCCCTTTGTGGTTACCTTGTTGACAGCTGGCCTGCGCGAATGTGCGTAAACTATCTGCCCGGCCTTGTTGCCATGTCCAGAGGGTCTGTTCACACTCCCTGGCCCTTTGGTTTGAGTGTGTTTGTGTTTGTTCATGCTCCGCTACAGCTCTTTAGCTCACTGCTGTGTATCTGATGGGAACATTTTAGGCCTAAAGTAAGAAAGGGTTCCTTGGAGATGTTGAGGTCTGAGTCTTCTCATGTATATCTAGTAGAAAGGAAAATTAGAAAATAGCCTACAATTTCTGACTTTTTGCAAATTTACTGCTTAGTTCAATTCAAGTTTATTTGTATAGCACTTTTTACAATAATCGCTTTAAACTTGCTCATCATTGCATTACAATCAAACTCTGAAAGGTAAGGTTATTAATTACCAAAACTTTATTAGTTCCTAATAACTTTAATTAACCAGTTAAACTCTGTGGACCCGGTACAGTGTTCGTGATGTCATCGGCTTTCG